TATATATATAAATAGTGAGACAGGGGGGAGTGAGAGAGGGGGGGGGTAGACTGGTAGACAGATAGACAGACGGATAGACAGACGGATAGACAGACGGATAAACAGGCTGACAAAGAGACAAAGAACTAGGACGCGGGGTTAAGAAGGAGAAGGAGAAGAAGAAGAAGAACTCGTGTCACCTTCAAATGTCCTTTCACCTGACACCGCTCTGCTCTAAAACATTCTGCACGCCGCCATCTGCCCGCATTGTTTGCGACAGCACATCTCTGTGCACCATAGAAGTAACTCAGAATTTCCTAGATCGGGACATTGTCATGTCCGCTGTTTTTGTGTGTGGGGGGACGGGGAGGTGTTTTCGTTTTTAAAAATATCACTGCGCTGGTGTGTATTGTGCGCCTAATGGAGTGGGAAACACCAGTGTCCCTCCTTGTCTGTCCTTTGGTTCCAAATACAGTCAAAGGGCGCGCTTCCCTGGTGAACCATAAGGACGTCATGGTGAACTATAATGACGTCATGGTGAACCATAATGACGTCATGGTGAACTATAATGACGTCAGAGTGCTCGGTCTACGACGATATAATATATAAGTCTATGATGTGTGCACGCAGCGGGATGTTTACCACACACATCGCGGACAATTGACACAACAAGGTTCAGTAACACACACACATGCACACCATACACGCATGCGCGCGCACACACACACACACACACACACACACACACACACACACACACACACACCATGTTTGTCTGTCTATCTGTCTGACTTTTTATCTCTTCACCAAATGACCGGTATGTCCGAGCTCCTCTCTTCACTGGAGCATAAAAGAGAGAATTTCACATACGTCGTTCTGTCGTAACTTGATCAGCCCCGCCTACCGCTCCTTGTCTCACACAGCTGCCATTTTGGAAGCTACAGCTTTCTATTTTTGTATATACACTTTCGCTCCCTCAAACCCTAAATCTGTTCTGGCCAAACCCGACCATCCTTGATAAGGATCTTTCTTATCAGAGCAAACAGAAGCAGTCGACAGAAATCTGTTCGTGCAAACAAACTGAGACCAGTAGAAGAAGCCACGTGATATTGGCACTCATGACCACTAAACATTTTTACACTGTCCCCCCTCCTAAAGCCACGAGTCCCAACACGGAGAAAAGGCGTAGGCCGAACAACAGCCAAAAGAAACAGCAACCAAAAGAAACAACAGCCAAAAGAAACAGCAACCAAAAGAAACAACAGCCAAAAGAAACAACAGCCAAAAGAAACAACAGCCAAAAGAAACAACAACCAAAAGAAACAACAGCCAAAAGAAACAACAGCCAAAAGAAACAACA